CAAGGGCCGTTTTGCATTTGTGGTCATTCAGTCTCCACTTCACTTCAGTTTTCTGAATGTTTTCTTTAAGCCAGGACCGTCCTCCACCCTGTAGGTTCCCTCACGAAACTTCTTGAAGGAGACATACTTTCCCCTAGCCAGGTCCTTGTGTCGCTGGATGCGTTTAGTGATCACCTCGGGGAACAGAGCATGCTCGGCAAAATACAGCAAGCCAGGTAGCAGCTCCTTACTGACAAACTCCTCGTCTAGGGTGATTGTCTCAATGTGCGTCGAATTGGCGTCAGTGGTGTTGTTCGTCCAGAAAACAAAATCGCACCACCTGTGCCCAGTCACCATCATTTGTCCTTGCACCTGGTAGTAGAACGCGTGCTTGTGCTTCAGTTGCACGGTTCCATCGATCAACTCGCAGCAGAACTTCTCGTCTCCGCAGGCCTCCTCGGGTGTTAACCCAATCTTCGAGATGGGACACTTCACCTCAAGAAGCCCTACTTCGCCGTTCTTGACGATGATCCTGTCGGGCGACGCTCCGAGGAAGCTGTAGCGCGGATGTATGTGTAGCCCGGTCTCATACACCTGTACTGGGTCGTCCCTGCAGTTCATGAGCGCGACGTAGGCGGCAACAGCAACGGGCTCCTTCATCCTTCCATAATGCAGTGCCTCACTCTTTGCTTCTGGGCTAGGATACATGATCCGTTTCACAAGGTAGTCAGGCTCTCTGCACTTAATCACAGCAGAAAACTGTGATGCCGTTATCCTCCCAAGTCGCTCACTGTGCCACCTCTGGTTGCAGGCTTGACCGATCGTTGAGGTCACAATGCCAGCCCTCTCTTCGGCAGTCAGTTGTGGCAGTGTCTGCATGTGGTGCTGTACAAGCTTCCGGGCCTCCTGGCTCCACAGATCCTGTTCATCGTCGATTTGAGGGATCGCTCCTGTGTGCCTCGCTTCTTTCACTGGCATGACGTTGCCATACCTCAGGCAAAGAAGATTTGGTCTTATTTCAGCCAGCCTCCCATAGAACTTCGTGATGTCCTCGTGCGACGGGCCAGGCACTCCTTCACAAGGGTCATACGAACGGCTTTTCTTCTGATGAGTCGGCTTGTTGATCAGGAACTTGCTGAACGTAATATCTGCAAGCGGTGCAGGAGCTGCGGGCTTCTTGGCTGCAATGGAAGAGAAATAGGAGATTGGGAGGAGAGGGGGGGAGGCGTTACTGATTAATAATTGTACCAGTTTCCCTCATTTTTATTATTCATGTCCCATGTGGTTTCAAAGATGTGCTGACAAACACCTTGTCAACGCAGCTCTTTGTGGCTTCCATGTTATTAAATACAAAATAACACCTGAATGTGAGAAGTTGTAGGCCTCTGAAGCCACCAGAGACCCTCAATCTGAACCAGAATTGGCTCTCTATTAACTGAAAAATGGCCAGAGTTGACTTAAAAATTATGACGTAGAAAGGTATATCTTGAATGAGACAGTGAGAGCAACAATCTTCGTATAATACACCATTAATGATGTAGTACTCAAACATACATAATGTGCAAGTGCAACACATTTTACGGAAGCATTTGTTCCATACACACCTTGAGCTGGAACAATCCAAGAACAGGGAACGTCGGTGCAAGAGGTTGCCGTGGTCGTGTTGCAGCTCTCCTCTGCACAGAGAAGTAGCGCTACGATGTGCTGGCAGCACCCGCTTTTCCTAGAAAACGACAAAATACAAAATGAACCTCTTATGACTAGATAGGTTGCTATGCTAACGGGGCGCTAGCGTGCGAACTGCGTGCACGAGAAGTGAAAGCAAGGAGACTTCTACAAGCTGTGTGTAGATGTTTACAAAAACGAGTAACTAATCTGGGTGGAAATAGTTGTATCGATCACACAATAAAACGTTCGGTACGAACGTTATTTAGTGCTGTGGCGCACGTTTTATGCGGGCACTGGAGCACTTAACCGAAGCGTTCGTGCTCTCTCACGTGGTGCGGGGCTACATAGACATAAATTATTATTCAGAAACGTAACGGGGTATTACTCACCCAGCAACACAACTGCAGATGCCGCCTCTGACGGTGCCGGTGTCCCTCGTAAACCACGCGGAGACAGTATACGGTGCCTTCTTCATGGAAGGCAGGCACACGCATCGGACAAGGCACGTCCGAGAATCGTCCGACAGGTTCCACCGAACATTGCGTACGTAGCCTTCCTCCTTGAAAGCCCAACCGCGATGGGCCTGAAGCAGGGTGTCAGGCTTGGCTTGCATGTACCGCCACACTTCGTCTTGCGAGAAGTTCACACACGACGGAGGCCTCTCGACCCAAGCGTCCGGAGGAAACGAGAACGGGATGTTCTCGTCTTCGGTCATCGCTACCGTTTAGTTAGATAGCCGCGGAACGAAATAAACCAAACAGAGGGAAGAAAACCAGCGTGCCGTAACGTGAGAAACACGCCTGCCGGGTCTGTGTGTGATCATCCGGAAAAGCCTCGAACCCAGCTCCCCAGCTTTCTAGGAAGCTTCCAATTTTTTCCGACAGGTGGCAGCACATATGTCGCAAAACGTGGATTGATATGCCAATTGTAACTAGTTGGATCCAATTGGCAGTAAGTAAACAATTGGTTGTGCCAGTTGGTTCCAATTGGAAGTTCAATTGATGCCAATTGTAACTAGTTGGATCCACTTGGCATTAAGTAAACAACTGTTTGTGCCAATTGGTGGCAATTGCAAGCTCAGTTTTGGCACCAAATTAACTAGTTGAATCCAACTGGCATTAAGATCTACAATTGTTATGCCAATTGGGACGAAAATGTCCAGTTGAATATCACAACTGTACTTTTCAATTGACACCTGATACACGATTCTATCTTCAGTTCTCTTTCATTGGTTATTTTAACCCAAATGAAAATTTAAAGTGGTTTCACATGTGGTCCCACTTTACCAATTCCCACTTTCAACTGGTTTAGTCAAAATTATCCCAGTTAGGTTCAGATGTCCCACTTGTAATTTCAAGTTGCTACACCTTTTTTCATCTTTTTTTTTTTTTTTTTTTTTTTTTTCACTGAACATGTGTAAATAGGCTCGTAAAACGCCATTACTTTAAGTTGTGTGATTCTTTGATGAAAGTCGTATGGAGGAAAAATTGTACATATTTTGTTTTTTTTCAGCCCAGTTACAATTAAAATATTAATACAATCGGAATCATAGCACTTGCACAAAGTAATTTTTTTTAAATATCAAAATGAGAAAAACTTGCGCATAAAAATTGAATGTGTCAGATTTTTTATTTGTTTTGCTAAAATTGGCGGGAATCTTCGGAAACGTCTGTACACACTGGGCAAGAAAGATGGCGTCCGAGAAGGAGCGCGTACGCACATGGCACGTTGGCAGGCACGGCATTTGTGGCATGGTTACTGCAGATATTCAAGAACGTTATGTTGCTTTACTGCTGCGAGTGCTGAATAGTGCGGTGATTATTAGTTCATTGGGCCTGCCACTTCGTTGGAGCGTGAAGGATGGATAGCAAACGGTTATCAACCCAAGGTGAGGACACTTCTTTGTTTCTTTTCTTGGTGCTTGCTGCATTGCAAATCGGCGAATTCGTAGTAATAAATATGCCGAGACACCTTTACCTTTATGGTTAGTACAGGGTAGAAGCCTGCACGAACGAAACTTTACAGAAGAGAATTTTTCGAGCTGTCAGTTCGAAAGTCGCGAAGGGGCACGAAAGTTCACGCAATGTAATCAAGTGCTAGTGCGAAAAAAAAGTGTTTAAGCATTTTTTAAATATACTATAGATTCCTGAAAGCACTAACTTTCCATAGATTTAGAGTTGCAATATGCCAAAAATATGGCATGTTGCACCAAAGGCTAGGGTTACATATCTGGCGAAGTTTGAGCGCGCCACGATCTGTAGTTCACTTTTGCGGTGAGAAAAACACTATTCTCTTTTCTCGGAAAGACGCAGTACTTTGGAAACATGTTTTTGTATAACTCAATGCCACTTTAGAGCTGGAGATAAACTTTTGCTGGAAAACTTTATTAAAATAGAGAACACCCAGGAATGTCTCTCTCAAACCTCTGTAATTATGCAGAATGAATAACTATGTTATAAACGCTGCAACTATGCAGTATGTGTATAGTTACAGCATATTAACTGCCCTAACACCTAGTCAAGTATCGTAAGCATGGAACCGAACATATTCAATATGGTCACAGTTCCTTTTTTCTTTGCAACGTAAAAATACATGCTCCTAATTATCTTCTACCAGAATTTGCCCATCGATTATGGATGTACTGCATATATTGCCGAATGCTCTCCTTCGAGCAAAATAGAATTTTAGTTGATCCATAATTCTGACCAGTCCGAAATGCCGCCTATAAAGCCTTGTCGGGTGGCTTTGGCCGCCTTTTGCTGCACATCGAAGACTTGATTTATAAATAAAGAAACTCATCTTTTATTAAGGGAAACGTCATTGTTCCTTATTGCAAGCTAAATATGAAGACTTATATAGGTCATGTAATAATTTAACCTATATTGATGCTCCTAGGAAAGCTGCAGAGGAAAAACTGGACCAGGAGGAAACTACCGAACCAGAGGGCAACACCTGAACAACAGGACGACGGCCAAGCAAGGGGAGGCCGAATGAATGAATCTCTTAATTGCAATAAAAATGGCAAACATCATCTACTAGAGTTTCATTGTCCAGTTATCACAAACGGTTTCCCCAATTGGTTCCAATCGGCAATACTCAATTGGGTATCGACAATTGGAACCAACTGGGATTTTTTCAATGAGCAGTCCGAAATCACAAACGGTTTTCCCAATTGGTCGTGCCCAATTGGTTCCAATTGGCAATGCTCAATTGGGTTTCGACAATTGGAACCAATTGGGATTTTTTCAATGAGGAGTCCGAAATCACAAACAGTTTTCCCCATTGGTTCCAATTGTCAGAAACCAATTGGACCCAATGGACATTTTTAACTGGGTTTGTTGTCTGTTTCTCAGCTGGTGTCCCAGAAGCCCAACGGCTTGTGGAGCATAGTGATTCCGGACATGTACAGAGAGCAGTACCACGAGACGCTGCCCAAGAACTGGCTGGACCTGGTCAAGTCGGCCAGCGTTGTCAGCATCACCCAGTGAGTCTTCCTTCCCGCTTTCCATTTGCATCAACCGACCTTGGAATTGTTGTCCTTCACACCGGTGCAAGTTTTTTTCGCAACCACGGTCTCATGTTTTGGTGGTTAGGTAGCGCGAAATTTTGGTGCTGCAACAAATAAATAACTATCGTATTTTTAAACATAAAAAAAAAGACGAAGAGAAAAAAAAAAACAGCGAGTGGGCTGTGTATACAACATGGCTGCAAGTTTTAGGTGTGACAACGTCTACGTGCCGAGTATAGGGAAACTGTATCGAACGTATCAGACTTACTTGGATGTAACGAATTAAATGAAACATACTGTATTTACACGACTGCAAGTCGACTTGATTGTAAATCAACCCCGCACATTGCACATCAGAAAAAAAAAATCTTTAGATGTTTGTTTTACTGTGAACACGTGAGAATGGCAAAGTATGTTTTGAAAGCCCAGCCTCTAACGCACGATAGATGCCTTCTGGCATGCTTTGGCTGTGCATGCACGCACGAGATGCATGAGATGCCCAGTTATTATTGAAACTAGGGAGTTCATGCTGGAGGCAGGACAACAGAAGCTGCTCCCTGTCGTTCTCACTCCGTCCGGGACTAGACTACGACTCGTCCGCACTAGTGATGTCAGTCCCGTCATCATCACTGCTATATTTGAGGAAGCACGTCGTCAGCATCGTCCAACGAAATCTCGCATTTGGTAAATGACGGCATCCACCGCATCTTCCGCGTTTGCTCGGTGGTCGTGTCGCACTTCACGGATAGGGATTGATTGCGCACTTTTGCGGCGTACGTTGCGAGCCTAACCTCCAACTCCGGAAGGCATCCCCACTTATCCAGACTTTGCCCTTGAAAGCATCTTCGTTTGTCGTCACAGTTTAAGATTCCGTGCCATTGCAGACTCAGCTGGAGCATCGTCTGCTCAAACGGGTCGAACTGCTGGTTGCAACCAGCAACCAGCAGCGCAGTTGCTGGTTGCTTCTGGGTGAAGAATGGCCATAAACGAGCGCCGAAAAGCCAAACTGCCCGGATCCCACGTGTCAACACAAAGAAATATAGTTACCGCTCCAGCATGATCTCGACACTCAATCGAACGACGTGCGACCTTGAATCGTGCGTAAAACTGAATAAAAGCCACGGGGAGTGCAGGGGTGGAAGCGCTGCGCCAATTGCGCCATTGTGCGCCAATCCACTTTCGCTGCGCCATCCTGCTCCCAAGCGCACACGTTGCGCCAAAACTAGCCGAACAAGTTTTTCTTTTTAAAGGGGACATTTTTTGGAGTATTTTTCTTTATTGGCCACAGTGATTTACTGTGTTGTGTTCGTTTAGGTAATTCTGAACCAATAGGGACTTTTAGCCAACCGTTACCGCGTACCACACACTACCGGAGCCTTTGAAGCATGCTTTTAAGTGCGCGCTTGAGTGATACAGTGACCGCGGAGCGCGCGCTTAAAAGCATGCTTCAAAGACTCCGGGAGTGCGCAGTGACGGTTTGCTAAGGACCCTATTGTTATGAAACCACCATACTGATGTGGTCGTGTCAACAGCGTGCAAGTCTGATTTCCGAAAATGGCATATGCACAGGTCGCTTTGTCAGAGTACTCATCAGAACTCTGACAGACGTTGAACTTCTATGCATCGTTTTGACATTTACTAAATCTTCTTTTTTTTTTTCGCACAGTGGCATTGAGCGTGACTGAGTGTATTAGAAATACCAGATAACACCGTAAAGTCTCGTACAAACGCCTGCTGCAAAAAATTGCATATCCCGTTTTTTTTTTTTAAGCACGCACGCACGCACGTGCACACAAACACACACACACACAGACACACACACACACACGCATACACACACACTCACACACACACACACTCACACACACACACACACTAACACACACACACACACACACACACACACACACACACACACACACACACACACACACACACACACACACACCATTTACCTTTTCATTTCTGGGGAAAGCAATAACTACTCTATAAAATTAAACTTTTGGCATAATGTATATTTTGGGGTGAGTGCTTTTGCTTTGACTGCTTTTGCGTTCCCATTTCTGTCGTAAAAGTAACATATAAAAGCGATAATTGGTTGCCTCAATCATCTGTAGAGTTTCTTGTAAATGGCGTATGTGGCGAATACACCTGCTGGCACCCAAACAGCAAGCTGGCGGGAGGACAAGGAGAACAGTGGGAATGTCCTCCTCCTTCTAACAGTAACAGTGGGAATATCCTGGCGAATACACCTGCAGTCTAAGCTCGTTATAACAGACCTTGATTTTGACCAAGATTTCAGTCTGTTGTAAAATGACTGGGGGATTGGTGGCCGAGTGGGCTAAAGCGCACACCCAGCTTGACGTGCGTTGAGCGAAAGCTCGCGCTGCTAGAACCCAGTTCGAGCCCCACCCCTGCCCGTTTCGATCTGGATGAGCATCGTACCGGCCTGCGGTCGTGTATCACTACTGCGGGGTGCACGTTAAAGACCCCAGGCTAGCGGTTGTACTGCACTGGCTAAATTGCTCATCTACAGCGTGTGACTTGTTGCAACTTTAATGGCTCACCAACAAGCAGTATGTTGTGTGAAGTTGAGTGCATAGAGAAAAACCAACCGAACTTCACAAATTGGTATTTTATATCCATATGTCTGTTGTGACCAGGTCTGTTATAATGACAGTGATGGAAGTGCTGCGCCAATTGCGCCAAGGAAGCAATCCTGCTACATGTGGCGCCAAATTGTTATTTTACTGAAGAATTGCGCCATGCCTGCGCCGAGATGGGATATAGCAAAAAAAAATAAAATTGAAGTCTTACCAGTACGCGTGGCGGTACCGCGGTATTTTCCGCGCCGCAACTGTTACGCAAACCGAAACTGCGAGGGCGCATTATCATCATCATCATCGAAAGGAACGTTAGCAACATCCACGGTGTAAGATACACTCTGGTGAGGACACGGCGGGGCTGAACGCGCGGCGCGAGGAATCGGATAGTCTTCGTTCGACGGGCATCCGAAAGGCTGCATTATTCCGCGGCCACCGTACCCACGGCTGACAGTGTCGCCGGCGGCCAGACGGCGAAACTGTGTGAGAGCGAACAAAATTATCTCGTTGCCATGACACCCCGGTACACCATGGTCTTTCTGCACGAGAAACAACCTCGCTGGAGCTCTGCGCGTGTGGAACATGAGGCGGCACGAGCCGTTTTTGCCGTGCCCACGGGTTGACGAGTCATCTGCCGGCGCCGCTTGAAACCACAGTTAGAGAGAGAAAGTGAAAAGCGAACTTTATCTGGACTGCGCGAGGAGCGCGCTGTCCTCACCTGAAGAGTATTATCTTACACCGTGGCAACATCTGAGACCAAAGCCGCAGAGGCAAAGCGAAGAACCATCCCACTGAGCAGCCCATTAAAAAAAAGAAAAGGTCCGAGCTTGTGGATTGTTTGTTGGCCCCCCCTGTACCCGTGCGTTAGCTACCAGCAAAGTCAAAGCTAGCGCGAGCCCAATGCTCTGTGCATTCCTGACTCACGTGTGGGCTCGTGCAGTGTGGGCACCGTTACGGGCTCCATGCGCGCGCTTGTAGCTTCGGCTGCGCTCGCACCGAAGCTGAAACGAAGCATACTTGAGTTGCACCAAACTCTGTATGTAGTGCTGGTAAAGCCTCACCGTCCTTCTCGGAGCACGAAGCACTGCGCGACTCGCGCGACTATGGTGTCTGCTCCGCGGGTGTCGCTTCTCTGCAGCTCGTCGGTGCATGCCAAGGAGCGCACTCAACGGGTTAACTCGCCGTGATCTGATCGTGACTTCGCCAGCACATTGAAAATGAATCGGAATTTTCGAAGCGAATATCAGATATCGCAATATTTGAAGCTGCTGCTCAAAAAACAACTCTAATCTGAACTAAAACATTCCACAACAGTGAGGGTCGTTAGGTGCTGCTGCAGATACCTTAAAAGAAGTGCAGGCTGATAAGACTAAATATCCCGTACCATCAGAACTCAGTGTTACATATTTAATTGTATTTTTTTATCTGACGAGCAGATAAACTTTATTTTAAACAATGTCTTTTTGTGTTTACTTTCTTGAATTTTATATATCCTGTCTTAAAAAGGCGACAGGCGCTGTGTTTCAATAATAGAGATGGGCTTTATCTAGCAATGCAGCATTATTTTATTTTCAAGTAATATTCCAACATATGCCGGACCCTGCTCCAAAAGGGCCACTACCTGCTCTAAAACAACATTTTGCCTGCTACAAGGCCTGCTCCAAAAGGTCAAGTGGCACTTCCATCACTGTAATGAGCTTAGACTGTATTCCAATTTTGGATGGATTGGGGTTTTGTGTGACGACCGGGAAAGCTTATCGATGGAGGACTTGCCAACCACCGAACTTGGGCCATCCCTAGCTTCCTAACTGGGACGTCTCGCGCGCAGCCATTGGAGGGCACGTGCCGTGGGGGCACAGAAAGGTTAGGTTTTGGAACCTTGCAGGTTTGGAGACGGCCGCTGCGTCCTGGAACCCCGGTGGAGCGGCTCCCCCGGTTGCCCCGTGCCGGGCGAGCGGGGGTCGCAGCCCGAGGGGCGGAGCTCGGACAGCGACACGAGCTCCACGTCGGGCACCTTCTCGGAGCCGCTGCCCTTCCCGGACGGCAGCTACTGGGACGTGTTTGTGACCTATGCGACTGGCACCGACAACGTCTTCTTCCGGCTCGTGGACCAGTCCGTGAGTCCCTTCCCGCTAGAAACTATGTCGATCCCTCACGAGCCTTTCGCTCGCATTTATTTTTGTGTAAGGCGTGCCAGAGAACGGACGGTCTTTCTTGGAGTGTTTCGAAGATAGCTTTGGAGGCTACGGCGTCGTGGGATGCCGCGCCTAGACGCTCGGAGAGAGTGCCTCTGTTGGGAGGGCGCAGCACAGACTGGCCCATGTTTGGAAAAAGTTGGTGGGTTAAGGTGGCGATGCAAGCGAGTTGGTTCATGACTTCTGAAATTGGAAAACAGCGCGCAAAAAGACGAAGACGACGAGAGAAGAGCACAGGACAAGCGCTGGTTGGAAAACAGCGCGCAAAAAGACGAAGACGACGAGAGAAGAGCACAGGACAAGCGCTGAGCACAGGTCAGCGCTTGTCCTGTGCTCTTCTCTCGTCGTCTTCGTCTTTTTGCGCGCTGTTTTCCAATTTCAGAAGTTGGTGGGTGCAGAGGGAGCGTCTCTGCAGAGAGATGCGGAGGTTCTCTCCATATTCCCGTAGGTTTCTCTTCTAGGAGCAGTTTCTGCGGCATATGTGGCCTCCGAACGAGGCGTGGCTGGCGCAGTTCCTCGTCGGGACTTCCCCATTGCCCGGTTTGCGCTAGACTCTTACCTAAAGAGGAGGAGCGCATTCCTCCGCTATTTAGATCCCCCTTTTGTCGGGGAATTTAACCGAAATATTCGAGGGAAACTTGGAAGGAAGCAATGCGCTAGGAGTCATTGACTCCTTCGTCTATTTCGACGCTCAATTTCCGTTCCAGTGAAGTAGTCGAGGCTTATTTAAATCTGTGGATGCAGTCAACTCCCCGAGGAACATAGAAGCGGCGCTCTACCCTCTGTCACCCGTTTGTTCCGTTTCCGTGCGTGCTTTCGGCACCTCGATCTTCACTCCAAACTGTAGACTTTTCTGCTCCGAAGTTGCTCCAAGATGCGTAAACTGCTGCTCCAAAACGAGAATTTTGTGCTCCTAAGCTGCTCCAAAATCCAGATTTTTCTACTTCAAAAATTGCTCCAAAACTTGTTTCACCTGTCTCACTCCCGAGCCACTATTTTGATGTTTTACGGATGTGACGTTGGAGAAATCGAAATAATTTTAAAAATTTTTTGAGGGTAGATGGGGGAATACTCACTGCCTTATCCTTCCTTTTTTTTTTTAAAAAGTTGGGTGCCTGTTTTTTTTTTTTTTTTTAAATATATTTTAGTTGTTAGTGCATACCTGCCAACTCTTCCGAATTTTTCGTAAAATATATGAATTGGGACTAATTTTATGACTTTACAAATCTTGCTTCAAATTTTACAAAAAAAAAATATATATATTTTTTTTTTACATTTTTCTTGTAAAATTGTTGCTGCCAGTACCTTGCACTGCCACAAGAGGGCGATAGGTACTGTCCACGGCATCGTCATGGTTTTTACTCTCCGTTTATCTGGTGGCCACGGATCCCAAACTAATCTAAAACCCAAAGCCTTTTGTTTGGCAGCGCACATTGGTTCGGCATGTTCAGACGTGTTGGGGCTTCTCTGTTTCGGCCAGTTTCGAGGCGAGAAGTGCAGCGCCTGCGTTTGTTACACGTGTAATCGTAGCATTGCCCTGGTCGCTGTGGCTTTGCGGCGCAATGGCGAACTTCCAACCTCCAAAGAGGTACTTTCAGGTATTTTTGAAGTTGTACACGTCGGAGTTCCCGTGCTTGCCGTCCAAAAAGGGAGAAAAGTTTGGATTTTGTAGAACGTGCACGTGTGATCTAAGCGTTTTGCACGGTGGCAAGGCTGACATTAAGCTGCACATCGCTTCGTGCAAACCCGCCCCCTCCGTGCGGCCACGGGAGTTTTACGAATTTGAAAGTCCACGGGTTGGCAGGTATATTAGTGTTTCCTCCGTGTCCCTTCCTTTTGTCTCATGCCTTTGAGAGCTTGTTTTTCAATATGTTTAAGGAAAAGCGATTTTTGCTCGGTGATTTTGTTTTCGGACATTCTTCCCGATCAATGTGGCAACGATAATTTTTTGGACGTTGCGGTGTGCGTGGCCCCGTTGCGTGATGCAGTGCCCGCATGCAGGAGAGCTACGACCAGCTGGCGGCGGAGATGGACGCCTTCTACGCCTGCCAGAGCCTGCCGGTCTCGGAGCTGGTGGAGTCGACCGTGTACGCGGCCCAGGTGGAGGGCAGCTGGTTCCGGGTGCAGCTGGTCCAGGCCGGCCGGGGAAAGGTACGACGGGCTTCCACCTGGATTCGGTCTTGTTCGTCTTGGGGAGAACTGGAGCGTGAGCCCTCTTGGTTTGGCTCTTCGGAGCTGGGGCGTGTTTTTGCTTAGCCCCATTTTGTTGACCGGTTTCTGCTATCTTTGGACGCACGGAACATGTCCCAAAAAGGGGTCCCTCTTGCGTCCAAAGGGACAGAAGGACGATCCCGGCTGCCCAAGTTTCCGTGTCAACCAGGATTGCGATATTCTATGACGTCGTTCGAAGGTTTTTTTGGACGCAGTAAACACGCTGGTGAGAGGCACCCGAAGCACCGCTGCCATAGCACCATGGAAGGCAGATTGGTCCCTTGTCAAGGATATGAGTTCGATTGCATACATTTGTGGTTTGGGCTGGATTTTTCATTTTCTAAAATTACCTTCCTTTTTTAGTTCCTTACATTATTATTTATTTATTTAATATTTTTAGTGTCGCGTGACTTTTCGAAATTTCGAAAAGTTGTTTCTAATTTGGAATTTTACGATGCCATAAAATTCAGAACGCCCGTGCAAAATGAAAATATAAATGGTGACAAATCTGGGGTGGGCTATCTTTGGGGATATGACTGTGAAACTTTCTCAAAAATGAAGGATAAACACGGGGGCGCCTCCTACAAACCACGTGACGCGGGAACCGGTACCACACGTCGTGAACACGGCGAATTCGCGTTTCACAACGTGATAAACATGCGGAGGTTCCTACTAACTCTTGTGTCGTCGGAAAGGAGGTTGCAGATGCAGCAGACTGGCGTTTCACGGTGCGAAGGACTCGCGAAAACCCACCGAGAACTTGCATCTCACCGGAACGGATCCCGCAGATGCAGCAGGTCCAAGTTTCATAGTGCAGTAAACATCCAGGAGCCTGCCACAAACTAGCCTGTCACAAGAACCTATGTCGCACGCGCAGATTACGGACAAAAATGCGAGAATCCGCTACAAACTCGCACGTCACGGGAACGAATGCCGCAGCTCGGGGACGCTGTAGATTTGCAGGCTCGCATTTCACGATGCAATATACACGAGGAAAGTTTTGTGTTACAGGAACCCACTATGAACTCGCTTGTCTAACGTACCGGTACCACAGATTACGTGGTGGATGCGATTTCTGTCGAACATCACATGACGTCCGATGGGAATCGGGGAACGGCTGATGTTTCAGAATTTGTATGTTACGGATATCTCGCCAGAAAAATGGGATGGCCGATCTTCACGGGAACTCAGTCCCTACACACGGCGACAATCCATTTTGCATGTCTTCCAACGTCTCGCAGAAAAGTGTGGAATGTCACGTCTTGGCTCGCATTTGCTGCCCGGTGGTTGTGGCACCCAACCGTGCAACAAAAATCTGATCCATCCACGAAACAGGTCGAGCACAACAACAAAAACGAAGCACGCTGCGGCATTCACTCGCACGCAAACGACGAGATGGGAATGCTTGCTTTGCGTTCTGTGACGTCAGAGCTTCAATGTTGCCAACGAAAGCAGCGTTTACCTTAAGATGCGATTGGAGCAGTATAAATTCAGTTAACCCATGCAGAGGGGCATATAAAATTCAGATATTGCACATACAATGCCTCTCAGGCAATAATAATTATATTCAATTGTTTTCTCGAATACAAAATTTGACTGGACAACCCCTTTAAGCATGATGCAGGTGTAGTGAAAGGCTTGAAGAAACTATTTGATTCGAATATATTTGGCCCAAACCACTATTAGCTTTGAATTTGTTTTGGACTCGAAATCCCCCATTTGCACGTGGCTGATTATTTTACGTTATTATTTTAATTGAAAACGCCTCGACCTTGGCGTTCACCGAAGGACGCACGAGAGAAAGAAGTCCGAGTATTGGGTATCCTGGCCCCATAACCAGGAAGAAGCAGATGCGACACCAAACTGAGGTTTACTTCGATAGGTTACACAATGCTGTCGACGCAACTTCTTAACCATGTTAGGAGAGGCATGCAGTTGCATGCCTCGCTACAAGATGGCGCCACAGCGGCATTGCGAGGACGCCTTCTGCGAGACTCGAGAGATGGCGCGCGGGATGTGTGGCTGTGGGGGGACTGGGAGAGAGGCATGCGCAAAAGGAGGACGGCGAGCGGGAGCGCACGTGCAGTGCGAAGGCTCGTAAATAAAGGAGTTCCGTTTATGCTTTTGTTCCGAAACAGTAAGCGAGCTATCATGAAAAGGTCGCTGGGCCCTGACAACCTTCTAACAAACGAAAGCAAACTAAACTCAAGAAAGTTGGCTGCAATGGGAATCTGGTCCATCTTGTGTTGCCTCTGGAGCCAGTGGAACTGACACGTGTGCGACCTCATCAGCCGAACGTTGTGGGCATCTGTTGTGAAGCTGCTGACAGATGCTCTTCCACTTGACCACGGGCCGCTTGGAGGCATTCCAAGTGCGTCTGTCGGCCGAGGCATAGGAACTTGGTCCATGGTCTCCGTGTAGCCTGATGCCCCTTCTTTATTAGAGCATTACCCAGCTAAAAGTTAATCCAATTGGAATTCCAACTGGTTTTAACAGGAACCAATTGGTTGTAGTGGGTTCCAACTGGAAGCACGCTGGCCAATGGGTCTCACCAATTGGAATTGTTCCAAATGGTTCCCATTGGTTCCCATTGGTTCCCGTTTGTTCCCATTGGGCGCGTTCAGTAGCAGCTCCCGACTCGAGTTACTCCGAACGGAATAACTCGAGTAGGAGTCCTCAAAGCGCCTACTGAACTGAAAAAATAAAACAAAAAAAAAAAAAACACAAAAACCCAGCTTCTTAGCTGCTTTTACACATTTCCGCTTCCTCCCCTGTGCCAGACGGTCTCCGAATAAAATGGAAGCAGACGATGCCGAGCACGATAGCTTTTATTTGACGCCGGTATTGAAGAAGTCTGCACAAGATCGTTAAACAAAAAGCAAGTGACTGTACACATCAGCGCTGCTGTTCGAAGTGATCAAACGCGATCGAGCCCTTCGCAAGGCATTGCAAAGGTCACTTCTGTTATGAAAACAGACAAAAACGTCGTCAGCACACGCAAAGTATAGAGCTCGACGAATCAACGCCTCTGGTTGCGATACTTCCATACGATCATACGTTTGTTTTGCCCTTCGTTACGAACTTCCTATAAAATTTTTCGTATCGGGGCTGGGCAGACACACTCCAAAAACTATTCGGGAATAGAAATACTGAGATACATGTGTTTTAAGGCCAAAATACAAATACTGGAATACATTTGTCTTTTATGCAACGGGATATCTCTGAGATACTTCCGCAATAACGGCGAAAGAGTATTCCAGAATACAGATACAGATATTCATGGAGATACATTTGTTTCCGAACGGTGCTACGTGGAGAGGGTGCAGTTTGTGGTGAATGCGAAAGGTAATTTATGCTTGTGCTCCTCTTTTTGTTCCATTTTATGCACTGCCCATTATCTCAAACTATCTATCATTAATTCTGCTAAAAAAAAAAACATGTCACCTCCGTTGAACCACATAGTTACGGAACGGTAAAGACTGCGTACCACGCTTGACAAAAAGCCTTCCGCCTGAAATGAGCCCTGTTTTGCCATGAGGGTGCATCTCAAACTGTCGCATTAAAAGATTCTGAGTCACCCATAGCGCAGGGAGATTGGACAACAGGGCCATACTTTTTCTCCACTCAAGTCCTTTACAGCGTTTGCTCCGCTAAATTGGAAAGAGTGGAGGGCTTTGTCAGAGTAGCTGATTTTGTTATTCTTTCAAGTAACCTTCTGTAAACTACAATTTTTTTTCATTGTTGGTGACTGAGATGGGTAATGTTATAGGGCAGGTTCATATTATAAATTCTGAAGCAAGTTGCACCGAACGGATGTTTTAATTTTTTAAATTTATCTTAAAAAATGAAAGTCGTTTACAACTCCCTGTAACACCGAATTGGAGCGCAGCTCTTGAGGAGGAGGAGGGGAAGGGAGGGGGGTGTATTCCTCCCCCTCCCTCGTGATCCTGCCTGCTACTCCTGAACGAAAGGGCTCCGGTTCGAAGCCGGCCGACAAACAAAAGATAAGAATCTTTTAAAATCATTTTTCGGAGTAATGAAAATTCGGATTCGTCCCCCCTGCTCATCCTCCCTGCTCCCCTCCTTTATCCTCCTCCTTTCACGGGAGTCACGTGATCTCAAAGGGGCAGGGGAGGAGGTCACGTGACCCCCGGACCTGGGAGGTCACGTAACCTGGGGGGGTCACGTCACCTGGGGGAGAGTCATGTGACCTGGGGGGGTCGAGTGACCTGGGGGGGTCGAGTGACCTGGGGGGTCACGTGACCTGGCGGTCACGTGACCTGGGGCGGTCACATGACCTGGGGGGTCACGTGATCTGGAGGAGTCACGTGACCTGGGGGGTCAAGTGACCTGGGGCGGTCACGTGACCTGTGGGGTCACGTGACCTGGGGCGGTCACGTGACCTGGGGGGTCAAGTGACCTGGGGCGGTCACGTGACCTTGGGGGGTCACGTGATCTGGAGGAGTAACGTGAGCTGGGGGGTTACGTGACCTGGGGGGTTACGTGACCTGGGGGGGACACGTAACCTGGGGGGACACGTGATCTGGGGGGACACGGGACCTGGGGGAGACACGTGACCTGGGGGGACACGTGACCTGGGGGACACGTGACCTGGGGGGGACACGTGACCTGGGGGGGACACGTGACCTGGGGGGGACACGTGACCTGGGGGGGACACGTGACCTGGGGGGACACGTGACCTGGGGGGGACACGTGACCTGGGGGAGACACATGACCTGGGGGGACACGTGACCTGGGGGGGACACGTGAGCTGGGGGGGACACGTGAGCTGGGGGGGACACGTGAGCTGGGGGGGACACGTGAGCTGGGGGGGACACGTGAGCTGGGGGGGACACGTGAGCTGGGGGGACACGTGACCTGGGGGGGACACGTGACCTGGGGGGGACACGTGACCTGGGGGGGACACGTGACCTGGGGGG